TTTTTGAAGTCAGGATATATGACATCAATCTCTTCTCCCTTGTCCAGGTGATAGGTCACCTGGTCGTAGAAGGAAATGAGATTGGTCAAGCAAGACCTACCCACAACAAACCCGTGCTGGCTATCCCTTAAGATGTTGGCGTTGGCCAGTCCATTAAGGATGGCCTCTTTAATAAACTTTTCTAAGATCTTCCCCGGGATAGAAGTCAGGCTGATGGGCCTATAGTTAGCCGGATCCACTTTCCTCCCTTTCTTGAAGATAGGCACCACATTGGCCTTCTTCCAGTCTTCGGGCACTACACCAGAGCGCCAAGAGTTTTCAAAGATCCGTGCTAGAGGCTGGGCTATGATGCTCGCCAGCTCCTTGAGTACCCTGGGGTGAAGATTGTCAGGGCCAGCTGACTTGAAGGTATCCAGCTTCTCAAGATGTTCCTTCAGAAAGTCAGCATTAAGGGAGGGCAGGGGATCACCCTCACCCGGACTTCCCGGCCCTGTAGCGGGCATGGGCATCCCATGGGACTGATGAAAGACCGACGCAAAGTACCTATTTAATAGGTTGGCTTTTTCCTGGGCATCAGTTGTCAGTTGCCCCATCTGGTTCATCAGGGGTCCAATGTTGCCCCTGCTTTTCCTCCGACTCCCCACATATCTGAAAAAGGACTTCTTATTGTCCTTGATGCTCAAAGCTAGTTGGAGTTCAGTTGCAGCCTTGGCTTTCCTGGTCTGCTCCCTGCAGGACCGGACCAGTGGTTCAAGCACCTTCATTGAACACCTTCAAGATGAAACTGGATGCTCATCTTGCTGGGATCCTATGACCCCAGCTGACTTCCTGCCCTTTGGGCGGGGGGCTGGACTCGATCTTCTGAGGTCCCTTCCAGCCCTGATGTCTATGAAATCTATGAAACATTTCCCCCACGGGGATTGCCAGCAATATTGGACTCTCCAGCCTAGCTGCTCATGGAAGATGACTTAGGATGCCGCTGCCCATGGCACCAATATAGCTGAAACCTGGAAGTCCCGACCTGAAGGAATTTAAGAAATAAGATGCTGAACTAAAACTTCACTAGCAAAAAAGCTTCATTACAGAGCAAAACCCCTGCTGGGGCTGCGGCCAGGGGACAGAGTTCCCAAAGTTCCCAGATGTTTGGAACTGTTCAAAATATGGCAAAGTCTCCTAGATCCAGTGCAGTGGAGACTGCAGGTGGCTTCCTCCAGTGAAACGGGGCGCACCCACAGTGTCGTCCACCTCGGCAAAGAGAGGATCGGGTGCTGCCACGGACAGGGTCAGAAGTGAACAGGCAGGGCCTGTGGCGGGCTAGCAGGGGGAGCTCCTGTGCTGAGCCACCTGCATCAAGCTTCAAGTGCCTCCCCTGGGGTGCCTACATCTGGCCGACCTCTTCTCTGGAGCACACCCTCAAGCCTGGGGTACCACTGCCACCACCCGGACTCAGGTCTTTGTCTGGACCCTGTGCTGCCTGGGATACACAGGCCCGGGAGACCTTGGGATTTTGGGGTGCTTCTATTAGCCTGAAGCAGTCACCAGCACCCTCCTGTGTGGGAGGAAAGTAAAATAGCCAAGCCCAAGGTGTGCTAAAACAGATAGATGTGTTGATCCAAGAGGGATAGGATGGGGAAGGAATATCAACAGCAAATTTTTGAAAGAAAACCAACCTTGAGCAAATCTGAGTGGCCTGTCAGCCTTTTGATACATGACTAGATTACAGTCAACTAAGTTCCTAGTTGGGTTTCTGGTAAGGTACTCAGTTCCACATCCAGAGAATGAGAAGGAGCTGTGGAGGTCCATGCTTCTATGTGTGTGTTTTTAAAAAAATGTCCCCTCCTCTCCTTCCTGAAGGGACCCCCTTAAATAGCCCTACTGACCTCACCACCTGGGCCCAGTCAGGAACGGGTGTTATTTGATGCTGGTCAATCAATTATAGAAACATCACAGTTACCTAATGCATAGGCTGCGGAACGGGGCACGACAGCTTCACGGTCCATCCCCAGCCGGCAGCTGCCTGCAGATCGCCTTTCCCCTCAGCCTCCAGGGCCAGAGCAGGCTGCACTAGGAGACCATAATAAACACCAGGCAGCCTCTGCAGGGAGCCAGATTACAACCCACGTGATGGCGGTATGTGCCCCCCTCCATCACACAATAGCATGGGTGTGCACTAGATCACATGTGCACGTGTGTGTGCATCAGCATCTTATTTACCATAGTGATTTTATTTACCATGAAAACAGCATACATGTCTGTGTTTCACAGAGCCTTTTCTCTCTGCAGAGGCGTGCTTACTACCCAGGAGAGAAGGGAGCCACTGCCTACCGCAGAAGCTGCCACTGACGGAGAGGGGGACTCGCAGCCACCTGGCAGAGCCATGGAGGGCTGCAGGGGTGTCAGCACTGAAGAAGAGATGGGGTCCAGGGAGGGGAACGTCATAGCTGGAGTCCTGGTGCCATTCAAGAACCAGAAGATGAGCCTCTATCAGGCCATGATGCGAGGTATCCTGAGCCAGGGCACAGCACTGGTGCTGCTGGAGGCACAGGCAGCCTCTGGGTTCATCATTGACCCAGTGATGAACAGGAAGCTGAGAGTGAAGGATGCGCTCCACGCTCGAGTCATTGGCAGCGATTATTATCAGAAGCTTCTGTCTGCAGAGAGAGCCGTGACCGGCTACCGCGACCCCTGCACTGGAGAAAAGATCTCCCTCTTCCGGGCCATGGAGAGAGGCCTCATCTTCAAGGACCACGGCATCCGCCTGCTGGAGGCCCAGATTGCCACCGGCGGCATCATCGACCCGGTGCACAGCCACCGCCTGCCCGTGGAGGTGGCCTATGAGCGGGGCTACATAGACCAGGAGATGCGCCAGATCCTCTCGGACCCCAGCGATGACACCAAGGGCTTCTTCGACCCCAACACCCAGGAGAACCTCACCTACATGCAGCTCCTCAGCCGCTGCGTCCCAGACCCCGACTCGGGGCTCCTCATGCTGCAGCTCATGGACAAGGGCTCCGTGCTCTTCCAGCTCAACGAGGACGCGCGCAAAGCCTTGCAGTCCGCCCGGGTGGCCGTCCACGTGGGCCTCTTCCAGGGCCAGAGCGTGTCCGTCTGGGAACTGCTCTTCTCCCGCTACGTCCTGGAGCACAGGAGGCAGGAGCTGCTGAGGAAGTACAAGGCGGGGCGGCTGAGCGTTCAGGAGATGATCACCGTCCTCACCACCATCGTCACCGAGACCGAGGAGAAGAGCAGCCGGGAGCACGGGCCTGGCAAGAGCCCCAGCACCAAGCTGGAGGCAGGGCCGGAGGCGCGCTCCCCCGGGGCCGACCGCTCGTCCCGGGAAGACGGCTGGGAAAAGAGCTTGCGGGCCACCATGGTCGACGTGCCCGCCGGCCAGTTCCGAGGGCGAAAGGTCTCCGTGTGGGAGCTGCTCTTCTCCGGGGACGTCGCCCCCGAGCGACGGCAAGAGCTGCTGGAGAAGCACAGAGCGGGCACGCTCCCCACCCAAGAGCTGGTCTCCATCGTCATCGCCATCCTCCGCCGGGAGGCTGAAGTGGGAAGGAGTCGTCAATGTGTGACCGGGAAAAGCATCAGCAAAAGGGTGGAAACAGCAGGCAAAGCTGAGGAAGCCCATTCACAGGAGCAAAACCTGAGGAAGTCCTTGAAGTCTGCGACCATCTATGTAACAGCTGGGGAGCTCAAGGGGTGCAACGTTTCCTTGTTGGATCTCCTCTTCTCTAGACATGTCCCTCAGGACAAGAGGCAGGAGCTGCTGGAGTTGTATAGATCGCGGGTGTTGACCATTAATCAGATGATAGCGGCGGTCACCTTGGCCATCACCAGGGCAGATGCAGCGAGCAAGAAAGGCATGCCAGGGGTCAGCAGTCCCAACAGGGAGCCGATGGCTGCGGACGAAGCTGCGGATGCCAGTTCTCCACAGGAACAAGAACTGGACCACATCTTAAAGTCAACTACGGTTGATGGCCCTGCCGGTGAGTACCGGGGGCAAAGGGTGTCAGTGTGGGAGCTGCTCTTCTCCAAGTACATCCCCCAGCAGAAGAGGCAGGTACTGCTGGAGCTGTACCGCGGCGGGGTGCTGCCCCTGGAGCAGATGGGCACCGTCATCACCACCATCATGAGGAAAGCAGAAGCCCGGGGAGGGAAGCTCATGGGAGAGGAAGAGAGCCCAAGTGCTGAGACTCTCATAGGGCTGAAGGCTGAGGACGCCCACACCCAGGAGGAGGAAGACTGGGAAAAGACCCTGAAGGTGACCGCCGTGGACGTGCCGGTCAGCGAGTTCCGGGGGAAGAAGGTCTCGGTGTGGGACCTGCTCTTCTCCAAGTACTTCCCCGAGGCGGAGAGGAAAGAGGTGCTGGAGCTGTACCGCGGAGGGGTGCTGACCCTGGACCAGGTGGTCACCGTCGTCACCAGCATTGTGACCAAGGTAGAAGCTGCAGGTGGGAAGCTAGAGGCAGAGGAGACCAGCCCGAGCACCGAGACCCTCACAGCGCTCAACACTGACACTGCCCATGAGGAGGGGGAGAAGAAATGGGAAAAGACCCTGAAGGCAACCATGGTGGACGTGCCGGTCGGAGAGTTCAAGGGGCGCAAGGTGTCGGTGTGGGAGCTGCTCTTCTCCAACTACATCCCCAAGGCAGAGAGGAAGCAGCTGCTGAGGTTGTACCGTGACGGGGTGCTGACCTTGGAGCAGATAACCACCATTGTTACCACCATTGTGACCAAGGCGGAAGCCGCAGATGGGAACCTGGAGGGAGAAGAGAACAGCCTGGGCACCGAGACCCTCATGGCACACAACACTGAGACTGCCCATGGAGAGTGGGAAGAGAAATGGGAAAAGACCCTGAAGGCAACCACGGTGGACTCACCAGTTGGCATGTTCGGGGGGCAGAAGGTGTCGGTGTGGGAGCTGCTCTTCTCCGAGTTCATCCCCAAGCAGAAGAGGCAGGAGCTGCTGGAGCTGTACCGCGGCGGGGTGCTGCCCCTGGAGCTGATGACCACCGTTGTCACCACCATCGCGAGGAAAACAGAAGCCACCAGCAGGAAGCTACTGGTGACCGTGAGAACTCGCAGCGAGGACAAGGCTGACCCTGTGCACAAGGATCACACGGCCCACTCCCAGGAGGAGGAAGACTGGGAAAAGACCCTGAAGGTGACTGCCGTGGACGTGCCGGTCAGCGAGTTCCGGGGGAAGAAGGTCTCGGTGTGGGACCTGCTCTTCTCCAAGTACTTCCCCGAGGCGGAGAGGAAAGAGGTGCTGGAGCTGTACCGCGGAGGGGTGCTGACCCTGGACCAGGTGGTCACCGTCGTCACCAGCATTGTGACCAAGGTAGAAGCTGCAGGTGGGAAGCTGGAGGCAGAGGAGACCAGCCTGAGCAGCGAGACCCTCACAGCACTCAAGACTGACACTGCCCATGGGGAGGGGGATGAGAAATGGGAAAAGACCCTGAAGGCAACCATGGTGGACGTGCCGGTCGGAGAGTTCAAGGGGCGCAAGGTGTCGGTGTGGGAGCTGCTCTTCTCCAACTACATCCCCGAGGCGGAGAGGAAGCAGCTGCTAAGGTTGTACCATGGCGGGGTGCTGACCTTGGAGCAGATAACCACTGTTGTCACCACCATTGTGACCAAGACAGAAGCTGCAGGTGGGAAGCTGGAGGGAGAGGAGAACCTCCCGAGCACCGAGACCTTCATGGAGCTCAGCACCAACACAGTGCATGGGGAGGGGGACGGGAAATGGGAAAAGACCCTGAAGGCAACCACGGTGGACTCACCAGTCAGCAAGTTTGGGGGGCAGAAGGTGTCGGTGTGGGAGCTGCTCTTCTCCGAGTTCATCCCCGAGCAGAAGAGGCAGGAGCTGCTGGAGCTGTACCGTGGCAGGGTGCTGCCCCTGGAGCTGATGACCACCGTTGTCACCACCATCGCGAGGAAAACAGAAGCCACCAGCAGGAAGCTACTGGTGACCGTGAGAACTCGCAGCGAGGACAAGGCTGACCCTGTGCACAAGGATCACACGGCCCACTCCCAGGAGGAGGAAGACTGGGAAAAGACCCTGAAGGTGACTGCCGTGGACGTGCCGGTCAGCGAGTTCCGGGGGAAGAAGGTCTCGGTGTGGGACCTGCTCTTCTCCAAGTACTTCCCCGAGGCGGAGAGGAAAGAGGTGCTGGAGCTGTACCGCGGAGGGGTGCTGACCCTGGACCAGGTGGTCACCGTCGTCACCAGCATTGTGACCAAGGTAGAAGCTGCAGGTGGGAAGCTAGAGGCAGAGGAGACCAGCCCGAGCACCGAGACCCTCACAGCGCTCAACACTGACACTGCCCATGGGGAGGGGGAGAAGAAATGGGAAAAGACCCTGAAGGCAACCACGGTGGACTCACCAGTCAGCAAGTTTGGGGGGCAGAAGGTGTCGGTGTGGGAGCTGCTCTTCTCCGAGTTCATCCCCAAGCAGAAGAGGCAGGAGCTGCTGGAGCTGTACCGCGGCAGGGGGCTGCCCCTGGAGCTGATGACCACCGTTGTCACCACCATCGCGAGGAAAACAGAAGCCACCAGCAGGAAGCTACTGGTGACCGTGAGAACTCGCAGCGAGGACAAGGCTGACCCTGTGCACAAGGATCACACGGCCCACTCCCAGGAGGAGGAAGACTGGGAAAAGACCCTGAAGGTGACTGCCGTGGACGTGCCGGTCAGCGAGTTCCGGGGGAAGAAGGTCTCGGTGTGGGACCTGCTCTTCTCCAAGTACTTCCCCGAGGCGGAGAGGAAAGAGGTGCTGGAGCTGTACCGCGGAGGGGTGCTGACCCTGGACCAGGTGGTCACCGTCGTCACCAGGCTGGCCTTGGAGCAGATAACCACTGTTGTCACCACCATTGTGACCAAGACAGAAGCTGCAGGCGGGGACCTGGAGGGAGAGGAGAACCTCCCGAGCACCGAGACCCTCATGGCGCTCAGCACCAACACGGTGCATGGGGAGGGGGACAGGAAATGGGAAAAGACCCTGAAGGTGACTGTGGTGGACGTGCCAGCCGGCGAGTTCCAGGGGAAGAAGGCTTCGGTGTGGGACCTGCTTTTCTCCAAGTACTTCCCCGAGGCGGAGAGGCAAGAGCTGCTGGAGCTGTACCGCGGCGGGGTGCTGACCCTGGAGCAGATATCCACTGTTGTCACCACCATTGTGAGGAAAACAGAAACCCAGGGAGGGAAGCTCATGGGAGAGGAAGAGAGCCCAAGTGCTGAGACCCTCATAGCGCTGAAGGCTGAGGACGCCCACTCCCAGGAGGAGGAAGACTGGGAAAAGACCCTGAAGGTGACCGCCGTGGACGTGCCGGTCAGCGAGTTCCAGGGGAAGAAGGTCTCGGTGTGGGACCTGCTCTTCTCCAAGTACTTCCCCGAGGCGGAGAGGAAAGAGGTGCTGGAGCTGTACCGCGGAGGGGTGCTGACCCTGGACCAGGTGGTCACCGTCGTCACCAGCATCGTGACCAAGGTAGAAGCCACAGGTGGGAAGCTGGAGGCAGAGGAGACCAGCCCGAGCAGCGAGACCCTCATGGTGCTGAACACCGAGGCTGACCATGGGCAGGGGGCCGAGAACTGGGAAAAGGCCCTGAGGGCGACCGCCGTGGATGTGCCGGTCGGCAAGTTCCAGGGACGCAAAGTCTCGGTGTGGGAGCTGCTCTTCTCCAGGCATGTCCCCGAGGAGAGGAGGCAGGAGCTGCTTGGGAGGTTTCGAGCTGGGGCACTCACCGTGCAGGGGCTGTTCACCATCCTCAGCACCGTCATCGCACACGGGAACCTCGCCGTCAGCCAGCCACGCACGCTGGATCTCCTGTGCTCCGAGGCCACCTGTGTCACGGTGAGGCCGTTCCAGGGGCACACGGTGTCCGTGTGGGACCTCCTCTCCTCCCAGCACATCTCCGAATACAAGCGGGAGACGTCCTTGGACACGTACGGGGCCGGCAGGCTGATAATCAACAAGATCACAGTCACCACCACTGTCACAAGCAGTCCCGCGGGGCAGAGGGGGAACCGCCACCACTGCCAGTGACACAGGTGGGATGGGAGCAGGCTGGGGCTGTCCTCCCCTGCAGAGCACGTGGTGGGCACCTCTCCGAGAGCCTGCGCCTTCGGGGATGACAGCTGGAAACAGGAGAGCACGAGCTTGTAAAGGAAACGGGAACGAGAGGCCCTGGCAGACAGGTCTTCACTGCAGAAGATGCCAGGAGCTGCTGAAATTTGCCTGGCACACGACTGACCCTGCGTGCCATGGAGGGAGGGCACCAACCCAGGCCCGCAGGCCCCTGATTCCCCCATTTCTGCCATGAGGAAGATGAGGAGATGCTGCACCAGCAAGAACAGGCACAGTCTGGGATAAAACCGGGACAGGGCATGCGGTAACAACAGAGCAGCCAGCTGAGCCCCCCGGCTGCAGGGGAGCCACGCCTGGGTCAGCCCTGGGCGAGGGCAGGCAGCTCCCCTGCAATCAGTCCTGTCCTGGGCAGGGCGCGAAGGCCGCGGAGCCTGAGAGACCTCTACACACGGCTTTGCCAGGGACATGGGCAGCTTCTGGCTCTTTGGAGAAACCAGGTTCTTCCTCGGTGGTGGTGCGGGCATCTTGGCGCGGGCAGGGCCTCTTCTGTACCGGGGAGCCGGCAGGCCTGTACGTAAATAAACGTTCCCACAAAAGCAGCCACCAAGGACGAGCTGCTCCTTTGTCAGGCCAGAAGCACGCGTGGGGAAGGGACTGCCTTACCCAGGGAAACAAGGGGACGTCCCCACCCGGCCCCTGAGGTGTGACCCTGCCGCCGTGGTGTCTACCCGCCCTTCCCACCCCGAGCCCTGTTCCCAGCTCCCAGCCCTGCTCAGCCACCCACGATAGCCGTGCCGCAGGCTGGGCTCCCCGGGTGGAGGCACCAGGGCTACATCACTGCTGGAGACCCAAGTCCCATCCCCGGGGATGAGGGGCAGCGGGCAGCGGGGCAGGCGGTGCCCTCCTGGCAGGTGCTGGCATGGGCACACCTGCATTGTGCGGGTCGCTGCGGGAATGGGAAGACATCCAAGATGAGGATGGATGGAGCCAGGCAGAAAGCATGAGGAGGGTGGGCTGGGCAGGACAGGTTGTGCTCGGGGAGAGATTTCCCCCAGACGCCAGTGCCCCATCAGGGTGTGCAGGGCAGGGGCGCGGGGTACGTAGCCTGCAGCACAGACTCTGGTCCGTGGGGCACAGTCACCGCCGGGAGCGGGGCTGGCTGCGGCCTGAGCTCGATGCCCAGCAGGGCTGGCGCCAGCCGGGAAGGTTTCAGGGGGCGGCTGAGCACCGGCTGGGTGCAAGAGCCCCGGCCCAGATGCAGAGTCACGGATTTAAGTTCATCACGGGGGCACAGAAGGGAATTGGTGCGGATTTATTCACCAAGGCACCCCCGGGGGTTACAAGAAATAATGGCCACAAGCTAGCAGAGAGCAGATTTAGACTGGACATTAGGAAGAACTTCTTCACAGTTCAAGTGGCCAGGGTCTGGAACGGGCTCCCAAGGGAGGTGGTGCTCTCCCCTACCCTGGGGGTCTTCAAGAGGAGGTTAGATGAGTATCTAGCTGGGGTCATCTAGACCCAG